GTTGTCATCGGTAGAAGTTAATGTTAAAAATATTTTCACGATGACCTGCATAGTGAAAGGATGCGGCAATTATATGAAAAAAACAAAAAAAACTGAGGGCAGTAAAATTAAATATTTTATCTTTCCAAAACAATCTGAAATTGCTGAACAGTGGCGTAAGCTACTCGTTGTGACGTAAGCAAGGACAAAAATCTGATTGGTCATGCGCATGAGCATACCCTTGTTTTTTATCATGGTCAGATCTATCTCACTTTAAGTTCGAAAAGTGTACGGTACACCAGTCCAACTACAGAAAACAGACAGGGAGGAAAGACGGAAAGAGTACAGAAGGTTCAAGTATATAAAGAACAGGCCTGCATAATTACACTTTCTATGCTAAAAAGGAAATCAATGTGCTATTAGCGAAAGAGAAGTTATGAAAAATACAAATTCAACCAGAGGGAAACCTGAGAGTGGACATCCCAGTTTTTTTCGTGCACCAAACCTCGTAGGGTAATGTCTACGTTTTTGTTCTTTTCACTATTACGTGGATTAGACAAAGACGAATAATCAACTTTGATTGTTCGTCCTTGATGGCTATATAATCACGTAATAATATGGAAAAGAACTACAAAAACGTGACACTACCCTACAAGGTTTGGTATACGAAAAAGACCGAGATGTCCACTCTCAGATTTCTTTCTGGTTCAACAAAACCTATTAATTTATCTGTGATAAATTTATGTGCTCATCTGTAACAATATTATAAATGCGTGCAATAAAAACAGATATTCTTCTGTGTTTCTCTTTCTATTCCTCCCTGCCTATCTCGCGGTTATGCCCGATGCGGAGTGCCTCTGCACAGGGTCTATATCTGTATATACAGAGTAGTCCCTAAAATTCGGTATCATCCATTCTGAGCAGATAGAACAGACTAAACCAAGTCGAAAAGTCCTGTACCATTTTGCAATTTTCGCAATGGTTAACGAGATATTAATTACTAAAAGTCGCCAAATATTGTTCTTCAATAATTTTTTAATCAAATACTATCAACTTTACAGAAAAACTGCAAGAGGCAAAAATCATTTATTTTCTTCTCATAGAAATCTAAGATTTTTTTCAGAATTTTTTATCAACTTTTTAATACTGAAATTTCGTATTTTTACCATCAGGAAAAAATACGGTATTAAAAAATTTTGAAAAAATTCTCAGAACTTTATGAGAAGAAAGTAAACAATTTTTGTCTCTCGCTGTTTTTCTGTAAAGTTAATAGTATTTGAGTAAAAAATTATTGAAAACCAATATTTAGCGACTTAGTAATTAATATCTCGTTAACCATTACGAAAATTGCAAAATGGTAGAGGACTTTTCGATTCAGTTTAGTCCACTCTATCTACAAAAGCGGTTGGCAAAAACTTACGGAACACTGTATATATTAATATCATATATTTATACATACATACATATGCATACACACATTTGTCGTGGTGCGTGATGTCCATTTTTAAATCTGCAATTTGTGCCGACCGGATTTGGATAAACGTAAGTAAATAGATCTCAAGTGCGTTCCGTTTCATACATGGTATATCATTTTATTCTTGTTGTTCACTGAATATTAAAAAAAGATAAAATGATACATCATGCGCATCATATGTGAAACACAGGTCGCAGTCCTCGTTGCGCCACACTGTGGCAGAGGGAGAGAAAGAGAGAGAGAGAGAGAGAGAGAAAAACACGAAATCCTTGAAGGGGATCTTTCCCTCTCGAGTCAGACATTTACGTTGGTGATGTACGTCGGGAACGGCTTATCTGGCTGATAATATCGTGATCTTATCGTGATCGTGATGTAAACTATTGTAAACACGTTCGTCAACCTGCCAGTCGCGTTAAATGCCCTGTAGAGCAGAGGTGTCGCGAAGTCACACAATCGTGAGAGAAACCGAACGGATCATTCATAGATGGTAGACGTGGGGATGGCAGCGGAGAACGACAGCGACAAACGGTCGCATCCACGGTGTATCAAATTGCCACCCGCTGTCGAAGTGTTCGCCAATTTGAAGAATGCGCAAACCTTCGCCATAGACATCGGTACGTCGTCGACCGGGTACCTTCCCGAGACTGGGATTACTAATTACTTGGTCCCTTACGCGGTCCCTGATCCCTCGAAAGGTTAACGTGACCGTTACATGAGATCAAGTAATCGTCATTGAGTTGACGATCGAATTGACCTATCACAATACTGTAACGTAATACCCGTTAGCAGCATATTGCATACTAAATTATGTAGTTACGTTTCCATTTGTACACACAATTATTATTTGACATGAATAAAAGAAAGTATATAAATTTACAAATATGTTATATATATAGTAATGTTTTCTGCATATAAGGACTTTTTTTCAAAAGATTTTTTTCTTATTAAAATAACAATAATAAAAGGAGAAATAGAATAAAATTTATATTGGATTTTATATCACATCTTAAAAATTATAGTTTACATATTACACATTATTTTTGATGATTCTATTATATTCAAATAGTTTTAATTTTACTTTGATTGTCAAATTTAAAAAAAAGATTGAATTTTGAATTTATAATGATGTTCCTTTATTACTTAATGAATTTTATTATTAAGTATATTCTTAAGTTATTATTATCATTTTATTATGTTTTATATTCTATCCAAATTTAGATATACATTATTGCGTATTATTTCAGGATTGTCGTTAACCAAAATTGCCTATTACTCAACAGTAAGTTATCGCAAAGCACTTTATGAAGATGCAGAAGGTTTAGGGAACAGTGGAGAACTAGCATACAAAGTATTCGAGGGTAATAGACTGCATTTTGTTAAGTTTGAGACAAGATATATCGAGAACTGCTTAAACTTTGTCAAAAAGAATTTAGTGGATGTTGAACGATTTCATGGGAAAAGTATTAAAGTTACTGGAGGCGGAGCATTCAAGTATACCCCATTGCTGCAAGACAAATTAGGATTATTGTGAGTATATTCTTGTATTTTGACCTTTCTCTTTGTTAATCAAATTTTCAATATCTAGTTACTAGTATCTCACAATATGAAATATTCGAGTTTAATCTTTAATTTTTGGTGAAACATGAAATTTTTTAGAGATGTTTACTGATTGATAAGATAAAATTGCAGAGTTGACAAGAAAGACGAGATAGACTGTCTGATAAAGGGTTGTAATTTCTTACTTAAAAATATACCATGTGAAGCATTTGAATATCACCGACATGCGAATCCAGAGTATAAGTTTCAAAAAGCTGGACCTAACATATTTCCATATTTGTTGGTTAACGTTGGCAGTGGTGTCAGTATTCTTAAAGTAAGCAATAGATACTTAGTAAACTTTATTTAGTAATAAAAGTTATTCTGAATAAATTTACTTATTTGAAGACTTTTTTTTATTTTTATAGGTAGAATCAGATGAAGTATTTGAAAGAGTCGGAGGTACAGCCACGGGAGGAGGTACATTTTGGGGATTGGGATCGTTACTTACAAAAAGAAAGGTAACAGAATTTACATAATTTCTTAGATTACACCTTAATAATCTTTAGATTAATTTCTTTTTACTACTACTATACCAAGTGCATGTTATCAATATCTTTATATTTGAATGGATTAGGTGTCTTTACAAATCTTTATAAATATTTGGAAATAAAATCATAAGAAATTAATTGTATGAGAAGATTCTGTTTCATCGTAGTACCGTTGAGTCGTGTGAATTGTATATATAGATATGTATTAAAACAATGACTTTAAAAACACCCTACTAGGACTTTGATGAATTGCTGCAACTTGCAGAACGAGGAGATCACCGTAATGTAGATATGTTAGTGAAAGATATTTATGGGGGCGATTATTCCTCCCAAGGTTTACCTGGAGAGCTTATTGCATCATCTTTTGGCAAAGCGGTGGCTTGTGGTAAGCAAGATTATATATAAATAAATCAAAAAAGTTTACGTCAAAAATTTCTAGTACATTCTTTTTAAGATCTATTTAAAATCGAATAAAAAATAATCCATTATTAATTATTTTTTTATCAAGTCATTAAGAGAGTTTTTAGTTACAAGTGGAAATTAATATGATTTTATGAGTTTATTTTTAGAAGCATGAATGTATAACGAAATTCTTTTGTGTACAATTGAAAAGTGTTAAAATATCACAAGCAAATATCTAAAAGATCAGATATCTATGAAATTTGCGTAATAACAGTTTTAGGTATTAATTATATTAATAACATTCTAGGACAGCCAAAATTTTCTGAAGCTGATCTTGTAAGAAGCTTACTGTTCACCATCAGCAATGATATTGGACACATAGCTAGTTTGTATGCAACTGTTTACAACATGGACAGGGTTTACTTTGGTGGCTATTTCCTTCGTAACCATCCACTATCAATGCATACTATCTCATATTCTATCAAATATTGGTCTCGTGTTAGTCATTATGTTAACTTTTTCTCGATTTTTTACAATGTTTTCTTGATAGATCTAACTATTATATATCTTTAAATTAAATAATTAAAATAATTAACTACAGTATTCTCCATAAGTTTGGGAACACCCTACGTTTTACAGGTTTGTAAATAATTATTTAATTGAAAAAAGACGAAATAAAAGTACATACATATGTACGTTATCTATAACAAACAAAAAACAACCAAACTCAAGGCTATTTTTGTTAACTATAATGTAATAAAACGTTGTCTACAACGTACGTATGTATGTACTTTTATTTCGTTTTTTTTTTCAATTAAAGACTTAATAACATGCTATTAAAATATGGAATTTTAATTGAAATGCGATTCATACGAA